TTTTGTTTCATCACATTTTTTTCTCTGTACACATACATATATAATATTAATATGTATCATTTTATTTTTCTGGTGGGCTCTTTGAAAGTAGGTCGCAGATGTCAGGGACACTTTGTCCCTTAATACTTTAGCATTCATCTTTTAAAAATAAAGATATTCTAAGTAACATCAATACCGTTATCCACCTAAAAAAAAATTAGTGAAAATTCTGTAATCTGATATCAACCCATATTCAAGTTTACCCATTTGTTTCCAAAATGTGCTTGACATTATATATGTGTGTGTATATGTTTTTTAAATGTAGTATTTATTCAGGCTTATTCATTACACTTAGATATTTTTCTTTAGCCCCTTTTAATATATAATAGTACTATAGCCCTTTTTTTGTTTTTCATGATACTAATATTTTTATGTGTGAAGAATTCAAACCAGCTCTCTTGTAGAATGTCCCACGTTCTGCATCTTTCTGTTTTTTGTTTTTTTAATAGGTTCAGGATAACATTTTTGCCAAAGTACTTCATAACTGGTATTGGGTCCAGCATAGTGCACATCAAGTCAGGTTGTCCCATTCTTGCTGATGCACAGTGGGGTCACTTGGTTAAGGTGAAGCCAACCAGCTCTCAGAGGAGAAGCACTCTGCTCTAAAGCTAGTGAAGTGAAGTGATACTTTCATATTCCACAGCATCTTTTTACCTGACATGTTCAACATCATGGATGATCTTCCTGAATTAATTAGTACACTGAGTGGTGCAAAAGGGAGATTTTTCAAATTTTGTCATTTTGTACATTTATTAGCAGGCAATTTTCAGTTTCTCTTTTTTCCCTTTTGCTGCTTTCTCTTTTGAGTATTATAGATTGATGGAATTTTCAAAATTTGTATTCATCATTAGATCCCTTTATTGTCCTTGCTATTTTTGATGCTCAATTGCTGCAAATTTGGCTGAGCGCCTCTCAGGTCTTCCTGTGAACCTTCTGACTTGTGATCTCTTGGATCACTTACTTGTCTACTGGTTTAGCAAGATGTCCTAGACTCTCCTTGTCCTTTCCCTAGCCCTGACTGGTAAAAGTGCCAACATTCCTTTCATGAAAGTGATTCTACTTGTGTACAAGGCCAAGCAATATATATCTGAGAGATTTGGGAATTGATTTAAGAAGGGAGTTTTGTATGTAGAGAGCAGAGCAGCATACATTTCAGACATGGTAGGGACAAAATCTTTCTTTACAAGACAGAATTGGTCTCAGGAAGATGGGGAAATGTACCCATTATAGGGTTAGTGAGAATCTAGCCTACTAGACTATCGCTGCTGTGCTTACATATATTTTCCTTGAAGGTGGTATGTTTTATTAATTAATACTCACCTTGATCTCTAGGTTCTAATATCCACTGCAATGGCACAAAACTTACGGACAAAATTTGTGATTAAAGGGTTTATTAAGTAAGTTAACAAATTGTAATGCAAATAAGATATGCTCAGGATTGTTTAGCGGGACATGTTACAAAGCTCTGCCATGTCTGCTAATAAATGCCCAAAGGGGCATACCACTCTGCTATAAGCGTCATCCTGAAGGCATTTAGCTCAAGCTCCACAGGTCAATAAACCAAATGCCCTGAATTAAGTGTCTAGAGACACCCTACTCCATAAGCCAGCCTCCTGCCCACAAGCACTCAGCTTTACTTGCTCCGTGTGTTGGCAAGTCCGCCACTGTGTTCCAGGCTCTGGCTCCTGGTTCTGCTGCTGCTCCTCAGTTGTTGCAGCTGCCCTCTGTATACAGGAGGTTCACTGCACAGGAATCTCAGGTTCAGAGGACTGTTGTACTCCAGGCTCTTGCTGGTAATGAGATCCCTCTTCCTGCTTCTCTGAAGGCTCATTGTATACATGGCAGGCTGGCACCCTAGGGAAGCCGATTCACAATTACTCACAGGTGGATCCTGTTAGTTTCTTTCCCCACTTTTTTTTTTTTTTACCAGACCCAGGCAGGGAAAGGTCGTTTGGTGGGAGTTGGGAGACTTTGGCTAGAAGAGCCATATTCAATAATTCACTGCCCCTGCAGATGGAATGGCATATATAGACAGAAGATGCAAAGCCTCTGGAGGCCCAGCGAGGGCTTGGATGTGCTGGGAAAACGTTATTCTCTCTAGTTTATTTAAAAATGAACTGAGGCAGTGATTTGCTAAAGGTTGTGTAGCACACAAGTGGGGCTTGAATTTAAGGTGTGTATCCAGAGCGTTCTATCAATTTGGGAGCTAGATTGTGTCTTACACAAAATCCAAGCAAACTTGTTGTCATTGAATGGATTCCAATGCAAAGTGACCCTACAGGACAGAGTAGAACTGCCTTCTATGACTTACAAGGCTGTAAACTTCATGACAAAATAATAATAATTTACAAATAATCAAGGGTTCTTGAGGGAGAGGGCATGGGGAGGGAGGGGGAAAATGAGTCGATACCAATGGCTCAAGTAGAAAGCAGATGTTTTGAGAATGATGATGGCAACAAATGTGTGTGACACAATGGATGTATGTATACATTGTGATAAGAGTTGTACGAGCCCCCAATAAAATGATTTTTTAAAAAAGAAAAAGGCTGTAAATCTTTACAGAAGCTGACTGCAACATCTTCTGCAGAGCAGCTGATAGGTTTCATCCACTGACCATTTTGTTAGCATCAAGTGCTTTAAGCACTATACCACCATGACTCTTTATTATCACTCCCAATGCCTAGAAATTCACTTTGTGGTATTATTTAAATAACTTTTGGTCACCGTCTGTTTTCAGTTGCAGATTTTGATTTTCTGAAATATTTTGTTTTTTGAAAAAGTGCCAAGAATATATTTGTATTACTCAAGTCGATGGCAGTGTAGGTTGCTTTTCACTTAGTGTCTCCCTTTGATTGGAACTGTAGGGCGTACTGGCATCATGTTTAAATTACCTATTCAAGTTTTACTCTGTTTTCACAGCTGGTAGATACATAAAATATTTGATAATAAATTTTTTTTGACATATATACTTGGGAGGAATGTAATCCTTTGGAGAGCTTTTGTTTTTAAGGTATATTTTTTAAATATAAGAGTGTTTTTATAGGTTTTTTGGTGGTCATTTAAAAAGGACTCAGGTATGGAGTTAGGGTAAACTTGGAGTTACGTAAATTCATTAGAGCCCTCTAGCTAAACCAGTTTTTTTTTAAGAAATAGTTTCATGCTTACATTCACTGTAAGGACAAGTAGTGTTTGTTTGTTTTTTAAGATTAAAAACCAAAAAGTACAAATGCCATTTATATCACTCAGATTTTCCCTTTTCTTTCTGATCTAGCAAACTTTTGCTATGTGGATCCCAAACTAAATTTCAGAAAATGCTCTTTGACCCTAAGTTCCCTGCTGTAAGCATGAGAGACAAGGACACTTCCTCTTTGCTGTTGGCTTTCCTAAATTGATGGGGGCCCCTTCGCAAGTGCACTTGCTCCCTGTGTTGAGAGGGAAGGGAGAGTGTTTCCCTCTGGACCTCCCTCTCCGTTAGCACCGCTCCTGCAGCCTGTGATGCCTCAGGGCTGTTCTTGCTCTCAGCATGGAGTACTTTTTAATGACAGTTTAGGATTTTGTCAGCAGATGGAGCTGCAGACTACTTTCTTTAGTACAACATATTGTTCCTTAATAGCTCAACAGTAAGCCTTTCGAGATATTCTTCAAGCTGAGGAATCTTTGTAGTAAATGGCTTTTTTTGTTTTTTGTTTTGGCCTCTGGCGTTGGCTTCATAGAACCCATTTAACAAATAAAACCTATAGGATTAATTACCTCCATATAAATACATATATACTCAAAGGTATACTCTTATTAAAACCAAACACGAGAGTGAGTTCTCAGTGAAGAGTAGAGGAATCGCTTGAGTCAATACGTTTTCAATTTAATAACTTTTCTGTGATGTTCTGCATGCTTGAAAATAAATCCTAGAT